CTTTCAATTTTAAAAAATCGACTCCTTCACTTGACACTTTCTTAACGGACATGTATTCGTTTTATTTTGTTGGTTCAGAATCTTGAAAGAACATTGAGTTAGATAAGCTAAACCTGATTTGTTTCCTTTCTTATACTCTAACCATTAGGAACAGAATTTCACTCTGCTATTTTTCGGCCCACCACTTACTTAAGTATTCTTACCACTGTGGTGTCTGATGCGTAACGATTAGGCTGTAGGTCGTAAAATGCACAAGACATGAAAACAATTCCGCCTAAAGAATTCATCCTATCGAGTCTGTCATTCTGTTTTCCTAGGGAGTTGTCGTTTCCTTCTCAGCCCTGGTTGTCCCTGTCAGACTCGGTTAAAACTGCCAGCCTCAAAAGTAATACAATTGTGTCGATAGGGACGTAATATTTTGACAATCCGTACCACCAAATAATCATTTTTTGGCACATAATGATTGTATCATACTGTCAACTACGGATGTCGTTGGGGAAGTGAAAAAAGATAAACTCATTAGAAGTTCAACTTCACCGTTGGAAACTATAATGAATAAGACTTTAGAGGTGCTGGGACCCAATATAAAGATCTGCTTAACTGAAGATCAACCCTAACGAGTTCAACTCAAGCTTAGTTGAATGTAAAGGCACATCCCAAAGTCATAGATTCGTTAGAAAACAACTGCGGACGTCTTTTGAAGATTACAAAACGGAAGCCAAACAGAACAATCAGATGATACTCAAAATAGTAACGAAATAAACAGCGTGAAATTTAGAAAATTGAAGGGGCAGCAAGAAATAGTGGCAAGTAGTTATGTCTGTGACAAGCCAGATATTCTAAACCAACAAGTTAAGACGCCATCTTTTAAGACGGCGGAGATTTTACTCGTTACGGGTCTGTAAAACTTCCGGTGTTCCGGGTGTTTGTTTCGTACTTTAGTTGGTCCTTTTTCGAGGAAAAAGCGACATAGTGGCAATCTCTGTTTAATATGACATGTTACAAATCCGGCTTGGCGAAAATAATATGACCTTTGGCACAGGAAACAAGAGATATATCGTTCTTGGTTATGTGTACAAATCGATAGCCACAAATCCTGCTGCGCGATACATTCTTAAGAAAAGGGGAGCGTCCAATCTTGCGTTTTGTGCGTGTGTGTGTGTGTGTGTGTGTGTTTGTGTTTGTCTGCGTGTGTATGTTTGTGTTTGTATGTGTGTGTGTGTGTGTGTGTGTGTGTGTGTGTGTGTGTGTGTGTGTGTGTGTGTAAGTGTTTATATGTATGTATATGTGTGTGTAAGTGTGTGTGTAAAAAGTTTCTTATGATATGATTACATTAGCGTTTTGAACAAAGAATAAAGAAGAACAACAAACAATTGTACGTATCTCACAACAAAACACCCCCAACCCCTCACATAGATGAATCTGACTCAGGAAATTTGAAAGTTATTACAATCAATGAATTTTGCTTTTCAAATCTAGACCAACAGCTCGAGGAAGCCGGTAATGTCGGTGATAGAGCCAAATTACTAGCCTTTCTGCTGTAAAGATCATAATCACCCAAGAATAAACCTTTACGAGGTTTGTTAGAAAAGCGTTTTGTCATAATAACGATATAACCAAACACACAGGGGCCACCTATAGACATAAATGAATGGCGTGCTACTTTGTTATGTTATCAGACTTGGAAAGTACTTTTACTGTCAATATTGGATTTCTAGAGGAGAAGTAATTGAAAATCCTCGATGTGGTTCTGTTCAACGCAGAGGTTTTTGACGCAGCAAAGGGCACGAATGTTTTAGATTGTTCTCAAACATTATTTCGTCAAAGGCGCTTGTGTTAAAACTGTTGTGCTTGGTAAACTACATAACTGCAGATAGTATTTTAAAGGACCTAACTGATATAAGCAAGTGGTACCAGTCTAGATAAGGCAATACTCGTTAAACATTTTTTTTTCAGTTGTTGTTGTTATTGCTGTCAATGATTTACAATGTATTTGAATTTGAAGTAATTGTTTTTGTTATGTAGTCACATCGTATAAATTTCAAGTGGGTGGTTGGCGGGTGCTCTGGTGTAGTTTGCTTCTTCTTTCCTATCAAACATCTATCGTCCTTATCTTCCCTTTTTCTTTTTTATGTTTGTTACTCTCTTGTAACACCTCTAATCTTCTGGCGCTCATATGACCTTATGCAGTTGCGAGCGCCGCAAAACCTTCTACTAAAACTAAACTAAATCAATTTCAATAATGATAATATTGTAATTTTTTCCCTATTTCCCTCAGGTGCTCCCGCTAGAAAGCCACAACGTGTACCAGAGTCCAGCCTTCTCTCACGACCGTTGTAAAGCCGCTACCCCTGGAATATTTCCACTCCCTAAACAACTTCGGACGTCATAGAAGTGTGTCAGTACTCTCGAACACACAAGGATAACATCATCTTTTAAGACAAGCAAGGATTTTTGTCTTAGTTATAGAAATAATATGAGATATATTTAGAAGGTGATTTTGCAGATTAAGAAATGACTCCTCGGATTTCCTCGAGACACGCCGTCAGGTCAGAAATCTGACGAGAGTGATTTCTGCCCCAGTTCCAGAGGAGAACCACCTTAATGGTGCGTGACCCACGGTATATAATTCTCCGGACGTCGGATTTTATATCCGACATGTCATCAGAAAATTCTCCTCATTAACTCAGTAAAATGCGGGCAAGAAAGCCACGTACTACTCATGCTAAAGACAAATCGCTCATCTTGCGGAGATTTTGTAGTCCGGGCGTGTCAAGTAGACGGGCGGTCCACAATGTCATCTTAGTCAACTTGTCGTTTGCCCAGTATTTGTGTCTGAGCCCTAGATTTATGTCCCGAGCGGTAAACGACCCTCTCCTGTCCGACGAGAAATCACCGGCTGGAAAGTTTTCAGTTGATGCCACTGTCTGAAGACAAATCGAGGGTTTATTCTTTTGACAGACATAGTATAATCCGCCCCTCATTTGTTTTTTGTTTTTCTCTTTTCTTTTTCGTTCTTTTTTTAAATTCTGTTCAGATTTACGTCAGTTAAATGCTCTGAATCAATATTTGTGAAAGGCTGCTAAATATTACTTTTCTTTCAAAATAAAATACTTTATCCACCCATCACGAAAACTAAACTACAATAGAAATAGCCTCAGTGCATGGTTTGGCCTCGAGCAATACAATGTTTTAGCTTCTTTATCACGCGTTGTGTGGGTTGGGCTGGAGGGAGGCGAGCGTTCATGGATTTGTGACAGACCGTGTTGCTAGGCAAACTTGTGAGATCTGCAAGGGGGTCAATGGTTGTTAACTGGTTTTTATTCATATATATCGACGCCTTTTCCTCTCAGGTGATCAAAACGTCCGATAGTCCTATGACAGCTAGCCCATTCAATGCATGTCTTTCTCTTTATTTGTAAAACGTTGTGAATGGAGCTCTTTCAGAGTTTCAATACGCATTGTTATTTTAAGCTATTAAATCATACTAAATCATGACTTGGCACTTTGCTTTATTTGTTGTAAACTTTAAGACCCACTCGACCATAATTCTACCCTCACAGAAATAGATGTGTAGTATTAATATACATGTTCACACACATACATGTGCTTTCTTTAGGTCGTTAACAAAGGGGAAAGTAACGGTCGACAGGGCTTTTGCATATTATTCTAAAAATAAAGTTTGACAGTAGTCGTGTTCAGATGAAAATGTTAACTCTTAGTGAGGCACTGACTTGCATAAATTGATGGCTTTGTTTTCGTTATTCAGGTATGCAACTATTGCTTCAGTGATATAGCAATACCGGGATCTGGACTTAATTAAACGCGATATAAACTAACATCGAGCTCAACATTCCAGGAAAATTTCAGTTTGTCTGAACCAACTTTTTTGGGATCTGATCTAAAAAGCAGAGGCTAGACCTCTCATATTATCAATCTGAGAGATCTGACTTTAAGCACTGCTCCACAAAGAAGGTACCGTCTCGAGCCAGCTCCAGTGAGACAGCAATCAGTAATAGTCGCCATCAGTCGAGCCGATCTGAAATTAAAAACAAGCCCCACAACAGACGAGAGCAATAATCTAATACTCTCCTACCTTTGACATTTGACTACGCTATTCGCTTCCCGGGCATTATGGGTAACACCCCGGCAGTGTCGTGTCTGACAGACGGAGGTGACGTGGGCTCCCTCAACAAGTACCTCACAGCCAGGCAGCTGCAGCTGGTGCAGGACACGTGGGACGTCATGAAGCAGGACCTTCCCGCCCTCGGACTCACGGTCTTCCTCAAGTGAGTCCTGCTTACTTTGACTTGTTCCTTCGTCTTTGGTCGTTTAATGCCAAAGGTCTGTCTGTTTGTCTGTCTGTCTGTCTGTCTGTCTGTCTGTCTTTCTGTCTGTCTGTCTGTCTGTCTGTCTGTCTGTTTACCTGTCTGTCTGTTTGTCTATCTGTCTGTCTGTCTCTCTCTTTTTCTCTCTCTCTCTACTCTCTCTCTCTCTATCTATCTCTCTGTGTGTATGTGTTTGTGCGTGTGTGTGTGTGTGTGTGTGTGTGTGTGTGTAAGTGTGCGTGTGTGTGTCTGTCTGTCTCTTTGTGTGTGTG